ATGTATGTACCGCTCGAAGAGCTTGTCTGTGTATTTGTGTTTGCCTGTGGTTTATTACGCTGCTCTTGGCAATTATATTTGTTACCCAATTAGCGTAAAATTGTGTTTATTGGCATACGACTGGGACCGCATTTCTGCCCCCTCACCTTCGATGGCAGTTACCTCCGCCCCGCATTGAATTAGCTAATGAAGTTGTTGTTGCTGCCTGCCAATTGCCCCCTTACAAATACCGCCGGAACACACACACACACACACACACACACACACTAACATCTGCAGGGCCGTGTATCTATTAGTTTGTTAACCTAATTTGCTAAAAACACCCACACACTGCTTGTTGCTTGAGTGGGTAGTCCAAAAGACCTAAGACTTTAGTAACACTCAAAGAAATGCAGATGCAATTACTATAATATAAAGAAAATAATGGATGTATAAAGCATTCTGTATAGAAAAGCTATTCATTCAAAAAAGCTTTTCAATTATTTCAGAAAAAATTAATTAATTGACAAAATATTTTTACAGAAAATAAGCTTTTATTCCAATTTTTTTTTAAGTGTCCCGCTGCTATAACTTGTTAGCTTCCTCAGTGGCCTCTCGCAGAAGCAGTTTCTCTGTGGCTGCTTTCGTAGGTGTTATGGCTAATGCCTAGATAAAATATCTCATTAAGTATTGTTGCCACTACTCGGCCGGTTATAAATCGCTTGTGGCCTAAGCACTGTCCCAATGTAATGTGTATAGTTGCACATTCGGGCAGAAGGCCCTGAATTATTCAATTAATGTTGATGGAATCCACTGGACTTGGTAACAGAATTCGCATCTTCAGTTGTAAAGGAAGTTACGAGAAAGTGTCACTAGTTCAGGCTAATTTTCAAAGTTCAACAAAGTTCAAATTATTATATTTAAGCATTCTGATATTTTACAGTTGATTTAAATTGCTGCCCTCAAATAAATTTAGTTCAGTCAAGTGGCCTGCTCTCAATTTCAAATTAAATTAAACCAGCTAAGAGGATTATAAATTGGCGCGATTGTTTGAATACGAAGCTTTAGACACTATTCATTGTATGTGTGTAAGATTGCTGTTACTGCGGACAATGTAAACGTAACTACTTAATTAACCCTTTGTTCACAGCCATGATGGTCAACAATTGCAGTTAATTGTTGGTATATTTGAACTGAAATCGCTTCCCAAAATAATTCTCTTAAATGGATTATCTTAAAGTACAATACATTTTGAATTTTCTACTTAAATACTGTATAGTAAGTATCTTTGGTAGAATTTCTACAATTTTCTCTACCACACTCTCTAATATTCTTATTTGCTTTAATCCACTTTAATTAAGAAAGGCTTTTTGTTTCTTTTGGCAACGTTTTTTTAGGACTTCCTTCCTCTCGCTAAGACGTTAATTTCTACCGCAGACTGTTGTTATTTGCAAAATAAAGGGGAAAATGCTTGCGGAGAAGACACATGATTTATTTGTACTCACTTGCGATGCGATGGTGTTGGGTCCTTTCAACCCATCCGCCCATCCACTTGTAGGCGCCGCCTTTTGTCTCCAGCTAACCAGACAATTATTTATTAGCTTCTCCCGGCCGTACACACATGGATGCCACTGTATCAGAGTATTTGTGTTAGCCTTGCTGTTTAAGACAGCTTAAGAGGAACATGTTGAAAAATTCATTTTCATGTTCGGCCGCAGCTCAAGCAATTTCTCATAAGAAAGCAAAGTTTTTCTTTTGGCCAAAGGAAAACAAAAGCGGAGCAGAGCAGAAAATTTAATTTGAGCTCCTTATGCGTGTCCTGGCATTCCAGTAAGCTGCTTAGCATATGGCAAATGGAGTATGGTACATGGCATATGGCGTTGACTATCTTGGCTCTTTCTCTCCCCATTTCAATCAATCACTGGGCAGGAAAACATAAAAAGAAGAGCTTCAAAAGGGGGGAAAGTATTTAAAACGGCAATTACATCGGGAAACGGACAAGGGAGCGCAAGTAAAGAGCCAGCGTCGATTTTATTTGTGGATGAAGTTCACACGGTTGAAAAGGAGTTGGCCTTTACCTTTGTCTTTTTGTAAATCATTAAGAAATGTGAGGTATGTTCCTATATGTTTAAAGTTATCTAAAAAAATTTATATTTCATAAAATGTTTAATGAAATATTTGTATTCTATTGCATGAAATCATAATTTTTTATAAACAAATTTATTATTGAGCTCCAAAATATTTTGGAATGTATCCCTTTTAGTATAAATTCAAAAATAAAAATTATTAAATAAACTTGAAGATATGATAACTTTTAACTATATTGGTTCCTGTTCGTGAAAACCCAGGATATTTTTTAGCCGTTCGCTTCCGCCCAACTTCACAAGCTGACCATAAAACAGCTTTAATGGCGGTCGTTTGGACTGAGCCTGGTCCGCTCCTTTAGCCGGCATTTAACTCCTTCGCTCATTTATCATGCTTTGAGAGCCTGCAGCGCCAGATGAACTTCGTCTGTGTGTGCGGCCTGCATTTAACTTGTACATATGCATACCATATACACATTGATATTGGTTGGCAAACATTTTTCGCCAAGTGCTCGCCGACCGGCTCGAGTTAAGCGTTTCGTTTATATTCCGCATATTTTTTTATTGGCCATATTGCGAGCATTTCATTTCAATAACTCTCGCCTCTCCGCCATGCTTTCTCCGCTTTCCCCGCTTTCTTTTTCTCCCCTTCCAGTTTTCAGCCCCCTTGCCACAATTGCTTAAGTCGTAATCATGCTGCAATATGGGTCCTTAAAATGATGGACCTCATATATGCACATGAACGCATATATCCGCGCTGCGTGACATTTTGGTGTGTGCTTGCTATGAATTTATGGTCGTAAATTAATTGCGTATACGTCATGTTTGACACACTCATTTGACTTCAGCCAACAGCTCGGTTAAGTGGAGTTGCATTGAAGTTTCCATGGTAATTTCAGTCCAAGATTCGGTACTGTATTAATCTTTAGCTGAAGTTATCAATACTGAAATGGTTTCTCTACCCTTTGCCGATGATGGGGCAGCAGAACGTGGTTTGAATTGACTCCCAATCGAGCAAATATTGAAAATATGTCGACACTGCGTGAGCAGGAAAATAGAAAAAAAAGAATGGTGAAACTTGAGGAAGGAATGGAAAATTGCTTGGCATTGGGATGCGGGTTAAATGTGTTACGAGGCAGCTGGAAATCAACAAACAGCAAACAAGAGAGGCGAAATGCATTCGACGGGATGTTCCACATACGCATCATCAAAGGCGCAAATGCAACTTCCGTTTCCGTTTGCTCACAAGGCGAAATGGAAAGGACGAAAGGAAGTGGAGGCAGGATCCCCCGAATAGTGTCAAACACAATGCTTGCTGAACACTCAGCTCGGCTGATTGCAATTGCTTTTCCTTGTTTGCAAACACACTCATCTCTATTTGTTTGCTTAGCCAGGAACTGTATTTGAATATTTCATAATTTGCGAATATGTATTCCTGTTCGTTTTGAATATAGATACATCCTCTCCACTCCGCTTTCCACGATCTGTTGCTGTTGGAGTACGTGTCTGTGGCTTAATTTGTTGCAAATGTAGTTTGTTTTTCAATTAGCAAACACTTCCATTCCACTCCAACCGAAAGCTGCCTAGGAGAGCCACTAATTGGTATTTTATCTTTTAATTTCTAGCACATTTTCAGCACACACACAGCCTGATATAGATATAGAATTCCCAGCTGGATAGCTTAGAGACACTTGCTACGTTTTAGTTTTCAATTGTTTGTCTGGGGATTTTCCAAATGCTCTCAGTCTGTTCCACTTCGACCCCTTTACCAGCTTTTCCCGTGCATTCCCACTCCTCGGTAATTTCCATTTCCCACAAGCATTTTCCATCGACTGCATTTGCACTTCGGTGAGCCGCATAAATTATTTTATTATTTAGCTGTCGCATTAATGCCAATTGAATTTGCCTGATTAGAGAATCGCTCTGATGGAATAACAGGGGAGAGGAAAAAAATGTGAGTAATGAGTGACACCATGCTTATTAATTGTGTTGGCCACACTTTTCAGTGGTTTGGTCCCTCTTAAGGGATATTTATTTGATAGATTATTGGTAAACATTGAAACTTTACCTGACAACAGTAAAAAAAGGTAAGTTTTTAAATTTTTATATGCAGTTATTCGTTGTGAATCTCTTACATTTGTGTCAAGTTAAATTAGTATATCAGAATGGGTAAAAATTAAAAAATATATATATATTATATGTATGCTTGTATATTTTTAAAAAGCATCATCACTACAACAAATCAAAGTTTTTACTCGTTGCGTTTAAGCGGATTATTGGCAAATTGTTGTCATACTCAATGATGATCATAATTAGTTAGACGTCGATAGCTTCGCCTAATTATTTTTCCCCCATTGAGTTCTTTTGCCTTCAATTTTTTTGACCTTTTTTTGTGCTTAATAAAAATAATTAATAAATATATGCCTGGTTGCATCATATTAATAATTGTCATAAAAATTGGCTAACCGCATTCAGCACCAACTTCTCTGACACGCCCCTTTATCCGCCCCTTTAGTCTGTGTTGTTTTTGCTGTTCGCTATGACAAACGATGTGACAATTTAAATCTATTGGGGCAAGCAGTGTGATAAATTGGCATCAGCGAACAGGGCATCGTACGTTTGACAACGTAAAAATAATAAACCAGATGCAAAAAAAAAGAAATATGTATACATATAGAGTGAAAAATGCATCAGACAACGGCAAAGAATCGAGGCCAGCAGTGAAACACTTTAGCCTGACACTGTCAATTTGGTATTAAAATATCGCCCAGAGCTTCATTTAACCAGACAGTTGATCCAAGGGCTCAAAAGATTCTGCATATAGTTTTAAAAGCCACATTGCCTAACCTAATAATGATTTCAGTTCTTTGTTATAATTTCCACTTTATCTGTTATGTTCTTAGTAAAGTAAATGGATACAATATATGGTTTTTTAATTTAGGCCTTGGGTCTTATCATCATTTCAGCGAAGGTTAAAGAGATTGTCCAGTCATCATTTTGCCAGGATCCCCAATGAATTCCATAAGTTTTGCCGCTTTCCACTCGTCCATCTTTGTAGTATTTTCCATTTAGCATGCTATAGGTTTAAATACTACAATTAATCTGGATCATTTAGTTTGTAAATTTAAAGTGCAAACCTGTAGGTGCAAGCGTAGTACCACCAACCACCACCGTGAGTAACAGCGCAACTATCTCTACTTCGGTCATTTTCCCGGTCAAATGTGCTGAACTTGTACGACTCTCGTGATTTTAGAGAGTCTCCTGCTGTTCCTGAATATTTTCCCACTGATATCAGCTTAAAGGACTCCGCTTCGCTGCCAATTTTAAAGTCATCGTAATGAGCGAAGCTAGTGGATCCATCGATTTTTCCAAGCTTAATGTAAAGTTCGTGTGGTCGAGCCGAGGTCATTAAATGCAGTTTTTGCAGTCCAATGAAAAACTCTCTACTCAAGTCACCGAATCCATTCTTATAATCGGTCCAGTTTCTAGCGAAATTTTCCGATCCGTCGACTCGTCTCTGAATTACCGTCCATCCGGTAAAAGTTAATTCGCAAGGCACTGTAAAAGGTTCCGATCCCGGTATCTTAATTTTGTATATGCTACTCTGATTGAAACTGGGACATGTGTCTAAATACTGGTTTTCGTTCAATTTTGTTTTTAACAAATAAATACTATTTTTAAGTTTCGCGATCTCATCACTTTTGATTTTCAACAGCTTCTCAGCTATTTGCAACTGACTATCTTTACTCTGAAAAGAATCTGATGTAGTTGTTGTTGCTTCTGCACCGAAAATAGGTATGTTTTCCAGAAGAAAAATCAAAAAAAGCACTACAACGCACGACTTCATTATATTGGGAAAAGAAATTAAGACTTAATTCAATAAAGAGAGGGTGGGCTGCTTTTATAGCCTGCTTTTAGATAAGGATTCGGGTTCAATTAAAAAAATCTAACTGATAATGTTTTACATAGGCAATATATACATATTACAATTGAGATAATAAAATGACTTCGTCGAAAAAGGTCAAAGTTCTCAGATTGTGTACAGGATTATTCAGAACTGAAAGAATGATAAGTACACTCTGAATAAAAAACTGCTTTAAGCATAATTAATATTTCCATCATAGTTAAGTTTAATTAACAATGTTACTATTTTTTCCATTACCGATGTTTGTTTGGATACTCGCATATTAACTCATTAATTTATTATGATAAGGCTAATAACAATTTCCGCTCTTTTCCCTTGAATTCCCACGGGGCACACTTCACCTGTGCTATCTGGGGCCAATTTGCTTGTTGCCTTATCAATGTCAAACCTTGTGCAACAACAAAACTATTTATAAACAAATACGGCGAAGTAATAAAAACAATTTCGTTTTGGGTAATTTTTAGAACCACCTCAACATCGAGGAAAAAAGAAAACAGAGCTGAAATTTTACTAGCTTGGCACGCAATGCGTTTATTTTTTTTTTTTTTTGGTTTCTCGGTTAGTTAGTTCGTAATTATTTAAATGGTACAAGATGCTCCATAATGATAACACTTCAGAACCGGCACGTTTCATTGGTTTCCTGTCCCCATTTTTGGATATGGGGTAAGGGGACCCAAATTAATTGCCGCTGTAGTTTGGCTTCGGTTGTCGGTTCTCGGCATTGGACCCGGCTTGTCTTTCAGTCCGGCTAGTTAGTTTTGCTTACTGGTGGAACAGTTGTACTTGCAGTCACTGTTTTCCCGCTGTAAGCTGTGTGGGATTTTATATGGCGAAAAGTTTGTCGGAACTGCTTATCGGAAGCAGCAGAAAAGTTCCCAAAAAGCCCGCAAGTGTGTGGTAATAAAAAGTTTTCGTTTTTGTCTTTTCTCCCAACCATCCATAACTACCCAGAAACGTTCGTTATGCGACTTAATTGTTAGCTGTAAAGATTTACCATCACAACAGTTTTGTTTTCATTTGGGGGAAGATAAAATATGAGGAGCTTCGAGGTTTTTCCTCCCCACACCAACTGAAACACCCTCGTCCTGCATTGTCTTTTTGCGCTTTTTAATGTGCAACTCTTGCGGAAATGCTTTTGTTTCGCTCATTAATTTAAGAAAGAATTTTATTCAAAAGAAAATTTGTATAAAAAACCATTAGATATTTATAAATTTTTTTTTTAACTGCTTTAAAGGGGCTTAAGAAATATATATTTAATTCCTTTGTTACTTTTTTAAAATTGTAATAAATTTAAGATTATATTTAACTTATTGTTTTAATTTATTTTAACCTTATACTACACATTAAACTGTTTTATCAACTCACCAAAGTTGGAAAGCTGCCAAAACTCTTGAGGATAGAGCGATCATTAGCTGAGGACCGAGCGTTGCACACTTTTAAGCTTTTCTGTATGAATAATATTTGTGCAGTCACCGCGAAAAACAGAAAGTATTAACCAAAACAAAGCACCACCCACAGATGGCAAAGAAGAGGTTGTCATCGCTTGTTTGCTTGTTAAGGTTGGGCTCTTCTTCTTCTTCTTCCGCCATCCTGAGATGTCCTTTTCCTGGAAATATTTTGTGCAGCTGCACTTAAACATAAAGTAGCAAAGGTAAACACAATATTAAAAAAACAGGGGCCACGAAAAAAAAAGCGCGGCTCCAAAAAAGAGAGCGGGACCATTAAAGTGCAGCTTGTGTTGGCAGAGGATGTCCAACCAATAAAATACAAGAGAAACGGCAAAAAACTGCGCAAAATTATATATGTATTATGGGGATAAATATATTATGCACTTGCAAAAAACAGGATCTTTTTAAAAGTGAATAAATTCCTTCGTTATCAAAAATTCAAACTATTGAGTAACGTAATATAAATACGTTTGAAAGAAACAATTTATTATTATACACACAAATTACAGAATTAAATAATATAGTATTTGCCGTGCACGTCAGCTTATGTTTATATATACGTAGGCACACCAGGTGCACTCCTGCGTCTGTGTGGGTTCGTCCTTGTCCGCATCCCAGTGTGTCTGTGAGGCGCATCCGTTTAGGTTTTCCAACAGGAGCAGCAGAAGGCGCAGCACTCAGCGCTGGGCTACACACGTTAATGTTGTCCAAGTGCCGTGCTAAATTATGTATGTGCCCAGCATGTGTGTCTGTCTCCTTTTCCAGCGCTGGTGGAAAAGGTGCCCCGGCACCTCGTCCTTCGCCAGGACCTGTGTGCAAATAGTTTTTCAAAGTGCTTGAAACGCGTGCCGCCAGACACCGCAACTGTAATTATGTTGAAAGTAAAAAGCACCTGAAATATTAACTACTGACTTGCGTTGCTTTTCCACATGCTGTGCTACGATTACTTAAATATTTAAAACAGCTGCAAATAGTTGAAGACTATTTTGATACCTTTTCGGCGACTGCTAAATGATGGAAAGATTTACCTTGGAAATTAGTACCTTAAATGAAAAAAAAGTAACACATTGCATGTTCTTTTATAAAGTGTTGGATTAGTTGTTTGAATATTAGGATTAGATTGCCTCGAACTAACTTAATTCTTTAAGCGAAAATCAACACATGTAGCTAAATGGATTCCTTTGTAATGCTTTTTGCTCGTATCGACTGTTGCCTTTTTAGCCAAGTTCACAGCCAACTAACTACGATTTTACTCGGCGCGCTTTCGTAAATTGAAAAAAGTCGTATATTTTCGCAACGACGTGGGTACACAATTCCGCCCACTTTCAACTTTTCATTTAGTCAGTGGACCAAGCCAGTCTGCTAATAGAAATGAAAACAAAAACTGCACACAACTAAGCCAGGCTAAAAGCTCAAAGGCGGCTGGCTCAGAGCGCCTGAACCGCCTAAACCCACCCCCTGTTTTAGCCACGGCCTGCAATGAAAACAAAAAGCGATTTGCAAGTTTTCTATTGCGCATAAAAGTATGCTATGGAACCTATTTTTTCCACAGCTTGCTTGCCATTTTTTTTTTGCTCCCATGGTCGTGCTCCTTTTTGCCCCTTTTTTTCCTTTTCCGCTGGGTTTTCTTGTTTTTTTTTTGTTCGCTTTTCATAAAACCAAACTATTAAGCCAAGTGTTAAACTCATTTAGCGCGGATTTATGCGCCCGAGTGCCTGGTGCATATGTGTGTGTCTGTGTTCGTTGCAGGCTATGCATGAGTGTGTGTGCGTGTGAGCCAGCTTTGCAAACGTGCCGTTTTCTTTTATGCGTTTTTAATAAGCCTTTTGCCAAGCGTGTCGTAGTTTGTTTGTTAGTGACCCTCCCTCGGTTCCCTCCTCCTTGGTTTTTTTTCTATTTACAGCTTTGCATTTTGATTGCTGGCATTTGTGCGCCTAATATTTGCTGCAGCAGCTGATTTTTTTCTTGTTGTTTTTTTTAGCTGAACTTGAAGCGTAAAAAATTGAGTAGCAACGCATTCCTTTTTTCATTTTTCTTTCAACATGTCCTCGCTCTTTTGTTTTTGGTCCTTGATTACTGTATGTGTTAGCAGCATGGGATTAATTAGGACATTCAGTTTGGAAAATGCCCATGTGACAAGTGGATAGAATGAAGTAACATTTTATTATACAAACTTGGACAACACAAGGAAGATAAAATAGATTGAATTTAGAATAATTTTATGTTTTAAAACTAATTGAGGGCATTTTTGTCTAAGACATTCCAACCTAGATAATACATACATGCTAATTGCTTTATATTGGTTAGTTTAAGGAAATCCAAGAACAACATAAAGCAATTTAAATCTTTGCTTACCATAACAAAAACCAAAACAAAAACATTTGTGGCTGAAAAAATAAACATTTGTGGTTCATTAAAAATGAATGCATTAAATTGCGGTCGAATTGATTGCATCAAAAATGTTCAACCAAATATTGGTTTTTTTGATAAAGTGCCTAGATTAAACCGTAAGAAATTTATTAAATTTGTGTTATAGAATTAAGAAATTCTCACCTCAAGGTGTGCAATCAATTTTACGCCTTAGGGACACACAAATGTGTTTGACAACAAAACATTAAACTAAATTGTTTGGTTATAACTTTTAGACAACCGACAGACAGTGTAAATATCAAAAGATATTTTCCTAATTTGCAGTTTAAACAAACCAAAGGTGTGCCATTTATTTAAACCGAAAAGTGAAAATCATTATTTGATTTGGATTTATATTATTGTAACGTTTTATATTGAATCAATTTATTTTATGTATACTAAACAATTGTCGATTTTTTGTAAAGCCAATGTTTTTGTTATCATTTAGCTGTTGGTTCGCCGGTTGCTTTTGTTTGTTTATTTGTATGTGTTTGACATGGCTTGCTGATGCAAACTTACCGAAGCAAATAGCCAAACCAAATGCCATGGTTTTTACAGTTGGTTGTTGCTCGGGGATGCACTAGAAGAAAATTTGGGAAGGTTTAAAAAAAAATGCCTAGATCTTAAATTATAAGAACATTTTTAGGTCAAAATACTTATTGTTTCATTCGAGATGTAATATAACCCTTATTATTTTTTTTTTTTGATAAATGAAGTATTGTTTTTCCTTCTGTAAAATCAACTTCATATTCGACAGTTTTTGGTTAGATTTTTAAAAGCAAAGTGTAGGCAGTCAGTCCATCATTTGGACATGCATACACTTTAATTCCCTCGTCTCATCTCGTCTGCAGTATCAAGTTCTTGGCTTTGGTTTGGCTGGGTCCTGTTCCTTTCCTGTTTCGTACATATATCTTCATCGGTCTGCCAGGACAACCACAAACATCCAACATCATGCTTCCTGCGGAGAAGTGTGCTCTATGTATAAGGAAAAGTGCCAATCAAAGTTAATTGAAAATTCATTGAATCTTGTATATTTAAGTGAGGCATACAACATAAATCTATGTAAAACGAGTGTGTCTGACTCTCACTGTGTTTGTGTTTGTCTGACGATGTGTGTGTGTGTGTGTGTATGTGTTTATGTGCTTATCTCATCTCGATTCGATGTTGTAATCATGTTCCTGCTGTTGCCTTTGTTATTGTGGCACAAAAGTGTTTGCAGTTGAGCTTACAAGGTAAACAAATTTCTGATCAATGCATAAATAGCAGAAATTGCAAGAGAGATTTGGTGCCAATAAATATGACATAGTAAAGTTATTTAATTCGTGTTTTTATTGGGCTTAAATTGTATTTTTGCAGAGGAAGTTCAAGTGTTTATCAATGTTTAAAGCTTGATTGCCAACAAACCGTAATTAATTTTTTTCGTTATATTTATATATTTTGCGTACAATTTAGTAAAAGCTTGATTTTGGAATTCTCCCACATTTATACTCCAATCGAACTGCAAATAATGCATCTTCTGCCAAGAAAGCCAAATGGGACTGGCAGTGCTTTTGGCGTCACCACTTTTGGTGGGTGGTAATGTGGGTGGCTCCTTTCTACCATCCATTTCTTAAGACCACTCCACCGGCTGTCATTTGCATCGAGCGTGGCTGTAACCACACTTACAGTTACAGCTCGCCAAGTGTTTACCTTTTACTTAAGAAATTACACTCGGGCAAACAGAATTTGCGTGCCCACAAATCCAGAGTCGGAAGTCCGACTCCAAGTGGCTGCGCACATTTATCCACCGCCCACGGATCAAACGCCAGCGATGGTTTCCCAATGCCCGATGCTTTCCTCCATTCTTCTTTTCCCGTTTTCCCGCTTTCCCGTTTTCCCTCGCTGAACGAGCTGCCTACAAATTGAAAAGTTTTCTTGGCATTACTCGCAAGGATTTGCCTTCCTGCATCCACAGGATTTTTGTAAGGAAGAGGTATATTATATTATAAAGAGCGATACTATATGTATTATATATTTCAAAAATACATTTTTATTTATAATTGTTTCTTAACCTATTACTTGTTTTATATACAACTAAATAATAGCACTTGCTTTTACTCTGTGTGTTAAAAATAATCAATCAAGCTTGCAGGATATTCTCAAAGTCGAGTAATTTTTGCTCCTGAAATCTCATTCTTGTGGATTTTCTACTTGTTTTCAAGTGGGCCCTGGCTTGGACGTCTTTGGCTCCCTGTGTGTTTGTTGACTTTTGTGCGCTAATAGCAAAAAGCGTTCCATTGTGCGGCGGAGAGGTTTTGCCCTGAGTCTCCTCATCGAGCCCCCTGCAAAAGCTGGGCCAACGAAAAGTTCAAAAGTTTAGCGTGCCAGACAATTTGTGGGTCTCAAAGTTTTTAATAAGAGGTCATTGATTTACATTAGCCGGCCAAATTGGTAAATGTTCCCGCTGAAAGTGGGAAACCAAAAGGAGGATTGAATTGGTGGCCTTAGATTATGCACTATTGAAAAGGAAATCCTTGAATTGGTTTTCAAGGGTTGTTTTTGTTGAAGATGGTTCGGTGAATGTTATACTATGTATATATTAACAGAAATTTAAATATAAAATATGAAAACTTTAGGTATAACTTGTTTTTCAATGCCTGAACATGTTCTTCTGTGGCTACTGAAGTGACTTTCTTTCCTTTTCTTTAATTTGGACTTCCTTTATTGATCTATTGCTTACTTCGACTGATTGA